AATGAAACTGGTTAAACTTACAGAAAAATAATGCTACTGTTTGGTAAAATAAAACAAGCCCCACATGTTTTATTGTTCATATTTTCTCTGGGAAGTTACAAAACGAGAGCCATATTCTCCATGGCTGTCCGCTTTCTGTTTTAGTAGCGACAGGAAACCAGCAAACAATAAAGAAAATGAGGCTTATGTGCAGCAGAAAATTACCGACTAATTGCAAGACGCATTCCACACGGTCGCATTTTCAGCAGAACGGTCTAACACTTCACATCAACTGATAAACGAGAGCGTAAATTTTGCTGCAAGTGAAATGCTTATGGCAGCAGTGATCAAGTACAGCTAAGAACAAGTTGAACTAAAGGGTGAGTTGCAGTTCTCATACCACTTTTATTGATTCCAGTGCTTTTTCGATCTCATGTTATTTGGTGAAATAAGATACTAACTTGTTTGTCTTTTTGTTGTCAGCGTTTTCGGCTCATTTGCAGTGGAGAGGTATTGACTGCAGTCTTTCAGAAATTCGCCCATCGGGAACGTGTTTTTCTCATTTGCAAATGAGGTCAGTACAGTAAAAAAAAGTATGAACGATAGCTATTTAAATGCACAGTCTTTGAAGTATTTCAGTCGTTGTACATTTAGCCAATAAGCTGATAATTTCGTTTTTATTGCAAGCCCGTTTTTCGCTGACCGAAAATTAAGGGGAAAGCTGATCTGGCCGAACCAGCGAGTGCCTCACCTATTTACAAGAAAAGCAGGCCCTTTTTTTTTCAATTTAAATTTTAATACTGATAATCAGCCTTTTAAACTTGGTTAAACAGCAGGTAAAAAAGCAAACAAACAAGGACAAAAAAAGCAAGTGGAATAAAACGTGCAAACAGTAAAATTTTAATCAACGCTTATAACAGTTTGCGCGCGGTTATGTCGCACTGTCGAACGTAGCAGATTCACGATCCTCGGGGAAACCAAGGTGGGGAGGAGAAAAATAGAAAGGTCAATGTCAAGGGGGCATTACATCGTTTTATCTCAAAATTTAGCTTTTTAAACACGCCCAAAACCAAGAAAGCTGTAATTTTCATCAGTAGCAGAAGTCAGCGTAGTGCTCGACTTGCAAGGAATTACGTTTTGGGTGGCCAAGAGAGTGACCAAAAACGGCTTGAATAGATCCAAAAAGGATTTTTCGGAAAACGTCGAGTTGCGAATTGTTTGAATTGACTCAAGTCCGATGATGTTATTCGAAGTGGTCTATATTCAACGCCATTAAGGGTTCATTGTCGTTTTTATTTGCAGATGGGACGCTCTTCCCAATTACTGTCCAACCCCGTGTTCACTAACAATCAGTCCTCTGTTACCAACAGCACAGCAGCTGCAGCGATCGCTGCTTCAGTTTACGTGGTCACGCCGGTGGGTTTCAATACAAAACTTATCCTTTTTGTGCTGTTTTTAATTGTTGGAGTCAGTGGATTGGTGGGCAGCATCCTTATTCTTTATTTTCTTTCCAAGAAAAAGTCAGTTCCTTTTCTTCAGTGTTCTTCTTTCCTCAGGAACTTCGACCTCTACATGAAGAGTTTAGCCCTTTCAGACATACTTTCTTGTTCTATTTCAGTTCCTTTGGCTTCTGTAGAAATAATGTCTGATGTATTCCAAAGTGGCTGGCCTTGTAGAACAGTTCGATATATCAATGTTACGTTTACCTTTATAACAATAAATAATTTAATTGCTATAAGCGTAAAGAGGTTTCTCTCAACCCGTGCTGTTCCTAAAACGTTTAGTGTTACTTCTGTCCGTAAAATAGTGTATGCTGCGTGGATTGCAGGGTTTCTAGTTGCATTGGCTCCTGCCGCAACAATGAATGGTATAAGATACAATATTACCGCTACACATTACACGGTGGTCTGTAAACCCGATACCAGTTATATACCTTACAGAGTAACTTTTGCAAGCGTTGTACTGATACAGTACGTCATACCAAGCATTGCTTTGATTGTTATTAACATCATCTTGGCCAGGAGGGTATGGAAAAGAAGGAAAGGAAGAGTCGATATACTGAAAGATAACGCCATTAGGGGGAGAGTGAGATTACACCAAATCAAAACAACTAATTTACTTATAATTGTCACCCTGGCTTTTGTTATTCCCTATTCTTTACTACTTTACTACTTAGCCTATGTTGCGATAGTCAAACCTTCACTTGATTTGCGGGTCGATTTTGTTATGAGATATTCTGGTGCATTGCTTGTCTTTTCTAACAGCGCTGTAAACTTCTTCATATATCTGGTTCAGATGAAGGATTTCCGTGTATTTTTAAAGCAAGCTATATGCTGCAAGGGTTACGATGCTTAGGTCAGCTCCATTTATTAAATTTTCAACCTCGGATAATGCATTTCTAGCATTCTGATTGGTTCACTCAATCTCGGTTATCAGCTCATATACCTTAGTTTGACCTTATATGGAAAACAGCAAAATTTCTCTCGGACAAAGCGGCGGAAAAAAGTAGATTTCTCGAGCTTTCTACCAACGAAACAACAGGAAAAACCAGAAAATGCCACACCGGCAGCGACAAAAAGCCACAAACTTTGGTTTGAAATTATTTAATGGTACTCCGAAGTTTCATACAAATGAAAAGAAATTATAAGCTTTGTTCTTCCGTACGTCGAGCTGATTATGTAACAACAACAACAACAATAAAGTTTACCTTAAAAATTTTCCGAATGGCTTGCACGTCCTTGCAAGAGTAAGTTTTCGAAACCATTAGCAGATTTTTTGGGTGTTTGTGTCAACCTCGTCCCCAGGGCGCTTTTCTCTGGCTTTGGAGGTGGGGTGAGGTTCTGTTTTTGTAAAGTCAGTATAGCTGTTGAAGACGTCACAACTGCGTTAACATACAGTAAAACCCCGCGACTAAGAACTTGGGCCCAGTTTTTCGAAGACCGATTAGCGCTTAACCCGGGGTTAAATTTAACCCGGGTTTCTTTTTCTGGTGTTCTAAAGCAGTTTCTCGGATAATTTTCTCTGTTATTTTTAGAGCTTCCAATCATCAACTTGTAGACAAAAAGAATTAAAACTGAAATGCTTTTGAAGCTTTCAAATCTGAATTCAAATCTCGCGCTAACCCTGGGTTATCTTAACCCAGCTTTGAAAAACTCGGCCCTGGATTTTAAGAACCTGTTAGGCTAAAATTTGCCACTTAAGCTCCCTCTATAAGAACCTGTTCAGCCTAAAAATTGAAACAGGTTCTTATTTTCTAAAATTTATGAACAAATTCTGTACATTTGAGCAAATAAGATAAGTCAATATCCAGAATCCTCTTTGGAAGTAGGACTTCAAAATTCCTCAGGTCACTGCTTTAGTCCTTCTTTTTATGGTCATTTTTCATAACTTCTAATTTGGTAAGCAGATTTTATATGAGGAATAAGCTGAATCACTAAAAAACTCTTAGCTATATTGTATTTTTTTTCTTTGGAAAATAAGAACCTTTTTACATAGGGTACGCATACCGTAGTATTAATTGAAAATAAATGTATTTACACTGCACATACTCAATAAACAAATAAAAACGAAATTATTATCAATGTTGAGTCCGGGACTCTAACTTTAACTTAAGTGTGAACGCTATTTTAAACTAAAAAGCTGAGTGCACCTCAAGTGCTTTTCAAGTACACTTGAACTCAAGTGCACTTCAAGTGCACTTTAGTGTCTATTGTGAACCCATCTATTATCTTGACCGGGGCTCAACCTGCCGCACATGTTTCCAGATGTAGTTTATGCATTAGCTTAGCCGCTATGCCCGAAATTCAATTCTCGGGTCACTTTTAAAAATGAAATCAGAAAAAAATAACTGTACAATATTTCTTAATTGTAAATAATTCAACAGTAATAACTTAATATGATTATATAAGAATGTATAACAGTTATTCCACCGATTCTTGTTAAATATCACATCCGTGCACTCTCAACTCATACTGATTCGGCATTAAATAATTTGTGCTCCGTATCACCAAGTAATAACCTTGTTTTCAGGAGAAATACTTGATTATGGTCCATGTCGTTAAGAAGAAAAGATGTTTCAACGGTATTGAAACAAGAAAAATGTAAAGTTACTCAAAATGTCCACTTCAATTTTCAAGTTCTTCTTGAAACTTGTCAACAGCGAAAAGATAAGAGCGAGGGCATTCGTTGCAAATTGTTGCAACTATATATACATATATCTTTTAATATCTTTAATGTATATCTTTAAAGTAATGGCTCAGAAAAGAAACGATTAAGGCAGGCATATACTAAAACTCACCATCGTGTAAATAGCTGTAGAGTGGGAAAAAAATAAATTCATTTGTTTAACTGTCAGACTCTGTTGAGATTATTTTTTTCCACTCTCCACAAGTGTGAAAACAAGCTGCGGCAACCTAGGAAAGTGAGGGTGGCTAATGGATTAACATCTGAGATGTCAATGTTACCGAGAAATTTCCAAATATTTTTGAAGTCCCCGTTCTGATTGGCCAGAAAAGGGGGGCTCAATGGGGTTAACCGTCAGCTGTCAAACGGCTTAAATTTTTACCGTCAACCGCCAGAAACGTAGACTAACGTTAATCATCAAAAAGTTTTAAGGTATCGTAAAGTTCCGAAAATAAGCCCCTACATGCATGTATAAGCCCCTCCAAATATAAGCCCCCCAAACTTGTAACGCAAAAAACCCTCTGTTAAATCGCGCCTCCAAATATAAGCCCCCCGGGGGCTTGTACTTGGAAATTGCCCTCAAATACAAAGTAAAGCAAAGCAAAAACGGCAAATTTCATTCCAACTATAGACTAGCCCAATCGATTTTGAAAATGCGACCCTATTATAGTCAATCCAGTCGTGAAAATGCGACCCCATCCAGCGGCACATCCCCATTAGTCTCTTATAAGGAAGTCCCCCACCCCCCACTGGTGGGGGCTAACCACTGTCTATATTATGAATGGAAATACCGAATTATGTGCGCTCATGGTGTGTCAGTGAGAGACTAACAGAAGAGGTTAAAAGACCTTGAAAGGTTTTGTTAATATTAATAATATTTAATGTTAGTTTTAGGTTATTCCTTAGTATTGCATTGGGCATCCTTAACCGTGCATAATTTCTTGCGTGGTTAGGGCGTGCCATTAAAACAGGGCGGCTTTTGCCTTAAAGCTGGAGCTCCCCAGAGAGTTAAAACGTCATTTGCTCTTAAACGGGTGCGGTTATCATTTTTTAAAATCTTTTTTAGACTGAGCAGTAACGTTCTCTCTGTAGAATGAGTCGGACCAATTACCAGTGCAGAAAAAGAAGCAATGATCGGAAACCAGTTCAGAGCATGTGCTCTTAAATATAATCATNCTAACAGAAGAGGTTAAAAGACCTTGAAAGGTTTTGTTAATATTAATAATATTTAATGTTAGTTTTAGGTTATTCCTTAGTATTGCATTGGGCATCCTTAACCGTGCATAATTTCTTGCGTGGTTAGGGCGTGCCATTAAAACAGGGCGGCTTTTGCCTTAAAGCTGGAGCTCCCCAGAGAGTTAAAACGTCATTTGCTCTTAAACGGGTGCGGTTATCATTTTTTAAAATCTTTTTTAGACTGAGCAGTAACGTTCTCTCTGTAGAATGAGTCGGACCAATTACCAGTGCAGAAAAAGAAGCAATGATCGGAAACCAGTTCAGAGCATGTGCTCTTAAATATAATCATATTGATATTGTAAGGAATTATTGCGCGTACACAAAGTCCATTTTTAATTCAAAGTTGAAGTGCCTATACGATACCATAAACAACCAATCGGTAACGTTTGACAAAAGTCTGACTGTTAGCCTGCGAATCCTGACGCATTGTCCAAGCGAGGACCGGAAATTAAATGCATCTACGTTTGCAGGCTATCCCATTGCTGGTTCTGCTTCAGACGAATGACCTTTGGTTACAGTTGAGACATAAGGCACCATTCTGTATACTTTTAAGTAGTCATTTCATGGACAAAACATGTGTCCGAGACGTTTATTCTGTGGCCCTTCTACATTGTATTAACAGGGTCCCACTGTAGTTAACTCGGCTCAGTTAAAGTGGTAGCCATGTCACGTGGATATTGCTGTTCTTGGTTAATTTTGTGCAAAAGTCATGACTTAGTATCTTTAGCTATACACAGAATGCTCCTGTAGAGTTATGAAAAATATATCAAACAAATCTTATCAAAGAACACTAACCATGATAATTTTTTTCGTGATTTTTTCCTGCAGGCATAGCATTAAAACTTGAAAAAGTTGGCCCAATTTTTTCAAGTTTCAATCTATGTCCATCTTTGTCATCCGTCGCAACAGACGACAGGAAACAGTTCCAATGCCTAAGTATAATCTTAAATAACAAAACTGGACCATTATTTTTTGAAATCAATCGATGCGAAGACACGTCTTAACTTTTTAAAAAGATAACAAATAACGTGACTAAGCCCCTTTAAAGCGTGACGTCACGCAAGTTCACACTGACTTATTTCTTGTGTAACTTTCAGGTCAGCGGTGAAGGTGTTGAAGGAGGCTGAAGAGCCCGTCAGTGCTTTGTCTGCCCTTTTTGGCGGAGGAGGATCTCAGAGTTCGAAGCTTGGAAGCATGACATTCGCTTCTGACCCATCAGGGTTGGCGAGTATGTTTTCAGGTACAGTGCGGGTTTACTAGAAATACTAGTGTAGGTTTAGTTTCACTCAAATAGGCACTGTTGAGTAATTTGAAAATCCCTCAGTTACATTGTACAACAGTGCATGGAAATATATATCTACACCTTTCATGTACTAAATCTAATTACGGTCGCCTATTGTCAAGGCTTAAGACCTAAGACCTATGTGCACCCTCGAGGTTACTGTTTGAAGTTGTTGACAAAATCCCGAGCAAAAGACTTTTTAAATTTCCTCCCAAGAATTCACTTGAAGTCTCAGTACTTCTTGGTGTGACCGGGGTAGTTATATAAGAGAAAACAAACTGTTTTTTGCAAACCTTCCTTCTTTGGGGGTACTGAAATGGGCAAACCCAGGTTCACAGTCCCCTATTTTTCCTTAAGATCGTCGGAACCAAGCGCTTACCCACCCTTACGGGCGGCCATCTTAGTTTATAAAATACCGAGTCTAGCGTGTGGATGAGTATTTAATCGAGGTTTAGCCGATATTTAGTAAAGCCGCGTTCCTAATTATCTTCAGTTTAGCCAAGACTGAGCTTGCGACAGGTGTGAAAATAGGGAGCAAAAGCAACAATGACGGCGACGGCTACGAAAACGTCACTTAAAAAGTGAATTCGCACCGCTTCAAACTTTATCGAGCTTGTTCCATCTCGTTGTTGGCAACTTTCTCTGGAGTTGAATTCTAAAAGACTGTAGCGAAGTTCAGGAAAAGAAAAAAGAAAGTCGTCTTGTGTTCACGTCCACCAAAAAATGTGAAATTAGGCATTTTCACGTCGTAGTCGTGCAGTGACGGCTAAGAGAAATGTACAAAAAAGCGTGATGGACGGTCAAAGTTGTTGTTAAACCTATTGCCTTTTTGCCGTTCTCGTTCTCGTTCTCGTTGCCGTCGCAATTGTCGTTGCTCAAGCTCCCTAATGGAAGTGGAAGGGGGAGGGGGAGGGGAAGGTGAAAGGCGGCAAAAAGCCCCCTCCCTTCCTACCTATTTCGACGCTTGCCACGCAGGTTACCAGGACTTGTATCTAAAACGTTGCCTTCAGTGAGCAGTGTCAAGAAGGCATTTAACTCGACGTCAACTAGACAAAAAGAGGTCAACTGATCATGATTGTCTGCTGCGAAAAGTTACGACGAAAAGCTTAAACGTTCGTCATTGCTAAATGCTCCTTTATTAATGATGGAGCCACCTTAAGCGTAGTGCCATTTATAATGTATACAAGGAAAAAGGACGGTCAGTTCATGTTGTTTCCAAGCTGTTTTTCAGAAAAGTAAATGTTTTTTTTGCTTGTAGCTTTGGGTGGAGACAATGCTATCCGAAGTGCACCCTCCCTCCCAGACCCTCCCGTTACTGCTGCTCAATCTGGACATGAAAGAACTAGGGTCGATCTTCTAACTCCAGAGCAGCTAGTCAAGTTGGTCAGCGGTGTTCTCAATGAAAGCCTTGTAAAGGAGATCGGTGGAATGTTCCAATTTAACATTACTGGAGAAAATGGGGGAACTTGGTTTCTTGATCTAAGAAGCGGACATGGGAGAATTTATGCGGAAAAACAAGGAGATAATCCTGATGTAGTACTAACTATGAGCGTTGAAAATATGCAACAGATATTCTACGGACAAACTACGGCGTTTGATGCCTACATGCAAGGTGCATTGACTGTCGATGGCGACTTGAGAATGGCCATGAGTTTAGAGGCTATTGTGAAAAAGCTCAGAGAAAAACCAGTTGTTCCGGATCGACAGGTTTCTCAAAGACCGGGTGTTTATATTGTATAGAAGTACGTTGCTAATATTCAAGTTTACAAAAAAAGTAGACACTTCTTGTTATATCGTGTATAAATTTACGTAAGATGCCTTAAAGACTGAGGGATTCCTTGATCAGTATATCTTTATTATTCTGATTACCGAAAGCTCTCGAAGATTACCAAAGTCATCCGATCCCAAGTTCGATAAGTGAAGAAGACACGAAGATGTTTCGACTGTTACTTACCAAACTACCAACAGTGACCTCGTCCACGGTAACGACCTTTAGTGTTTATAACTGACTTTAGGCGAATTTTCACTCACTACTGTTGGTTATTTAGCAACATTTCCCTTTTCTCTCGTCGTTTTGACATCAAATCGGCTACAAGTAACCAACAATCCACAGTAAAAAACCGCTTCACAAATGTTTCTCTCCCCCAAACAAAGTTGAAGTCTATAAGGTAAACCAACACAACAATTCTTTTGTTGAATTGAATTGTAATTTTCATGTTTGAAAGACAAGGTTTGTAGCAGTTCTATAATTTCAGTCGTTCTTGAGGTAGTTCTTTTAAGGTGCGTCCGGTGAGAAGAGAATTGACTTGTACATTGCTGGCCTCAGTGGTTCAAAAGAAAATAATGCTATCCACTGGGTCAGGCCAGAACGGAGCGAAATTGTAGACGCGTTCTGGCTAGGACGATAAACATCTTGGTGCCACGATCACGTCAATGACACAAAGTAAATGTAAGTTTGTTTTCGTCTTTTGTAACCCGCTCCGTTTAGACAGTTTTTCTGAGTAAGTAAAGCTGTCACTTATAACATGCTAATTTTAAAACCCTACTTCTTTGTTGTTTGTATAATACTGCCGTAGAAAGATTAAACGGAGTTTAAGCAACGACGTTTTTGAGCTACGCGGGTCAACCGGAGGTGGACGTTTTGCACTCTTGAGCCGTGATTCTTGGCAAATCTTTGGGCAAATCGTCTCTATAAGAGTAAAGACACTTCGTAATACAAATTTGGTGGCGTCAAGGCATACTAAAAGAGAAAAAGGCCCACTTCCGTTTGACGTGCGTCGCTCAAAAACGTCGCTGCTTAAACTCCCTATTGCCTTCTGAAAGAAGGTTAGGTTTTTCGAACAAACGCCACCATCAAAATTTTCCAGGTGTATCCCTACGCCCTGGGAAAGGTACTCTGGTATATATAAGCTATATAGGTCTGTTTCGACGCTACTTTAGTAACCTGAGATCAAGCTCTATTTTCGTTTCTCTTCGTAGCGCAACCACGTAGGAGGCAATGTATGGAAGCTGCTAAAATTGGGCCTGACTTCAGGGGCTTTATCTCGGGGAACTGGTATTTATTTTGAGCCTCGCTTTGAAGTTAGCCCCATAAACGCACTCCTTATTTGTGATTAGGGAGTCAGTAAGATTCAACGACGTGGACGGCAACGAGAACGTTTAAAAAAAAGGTTTTATAAGCAAAACAACAACTTTACATGTGCACCACGCTTGTTTGCACATTTCTTTGCCCGTTTTTGCAGGAATACGACGTGAAAATGCCAAATTTCGCGTTTCATGGAGTGCGTAAACAAGCAACGACGAAATTTTAATTCTGTTTCTGAATTTGGATATGGTCCCTAGGAATTCAGTTCGCCTACATTTGACATAGTAACTGGGTACGAATAATTGCGATGAAGACTAAAAGAACGCGCATTGAGATTTTAAGTGACGTTCTCGTTGCCGTCGCGTCTTAGTCCCTATTACTACTAGTCGCACACTTATAAATATCTAGCTGTTCCATATTTTCCTTCTCCTCATGAGTAAGGTTTGAAGAAATCTCGTGCCTCAGTCAAATTGACGAACTTTCCTTTGGCAGCATTTGGGCATGCGCTTGTCAAAGAGTTGCGCTGAAAACACTCTATTGACCCCATGAGGTCCCTGAACTCATCATCAGGCTCGTTTTCTATTGCTTCTAAGGGTTTTTCCGTTGTCTTTAGTTTGGGCTCACCCTCATCGTTGATTCTACTCTTTGTGCGAAGTTTTCTTTGTCGCGCCTGTCAAAGTAAACAGTTTTTCACCGATTAACTAGCCTGAATTTCAGACATCTCGGGTAGCATCTCGGGTGCTGGTTAACTTGTTAGAGTGATTTTAGCAAACCCGTGAAACAGGTAGTAGAATACTACCCTCTGTTATATTATACAACTATCCCCCGAAGGGTAGGTTAATAGTGTATACCGAGACGCGAAGCTTCGAGGTATATATCTTGTGCTGTTCACCGACCCTGAGGGGGGATAGTTGTTTTAGTATTTACCAAATCAGTTGGATAAAAATGAAAAAAGTAACTTTTTGTAAATTAAAAACGTCACTTAGTAAGAACTTTGTTTACAATTTACAAACATTTCGGGGAATACTGTCAAGTGCATTTTTACGATTTTGTTGCAAATTCAGCGTGAAAATAATTTTCTACCTATCATCAGTAAACACCGACAAGCCAAAGTTCGTCGCTTTCTTGGTATTTGTTTGTACGACTGCTTCATTTTTCTCTCAAATTTCGCCGTTCGAAAATGTCTGGAAACGAGACGCCATCTTGGCTCCGGTCGCAAAACAGTGAATAGCTAATTATAAGGATATTGCGAGTTACAGGAGCCAATCAAAACGCGCGGAAAGTGCTATTCACTGACTTGGTAAATACTAAATGCACTTATTCTATTGTCTTCTTTTGTTTACCTCTGACTTTTTTGCGCTATTTGTTAGTATCTGTTTCACAGTTCAAGTAAAATCAATCTAAGCCTCTAAGAAACACTCTAATAGGACATACAGGGACGGGGTGGCTAGATGGTTTCAACCCGGTTCATCGTTCTCACAAATCGCACCAAAAAGTTGTAAATATGTTGTGGAATCTTGAATTTGCTTTTTAAGCTTTCATACCTGTATTCAAATTTCGTACTAACCCTGGGTTATCTCAACCTAGCTTTGAACAACCCTGCCAATAAGTGAACTAGCGGCCTCCTCCAGGCGATCAGAATAAACAAGTTATTTACCTTTGCAAATTTGAAATCTAGAGACTGTCATCTAGAGATTTTCCAACCTTGTTCCCAGGGCTCTCTCCTAGGAGAGAACCCTGGGAACGAGGTTGGAGATTTTCTCTTTCACATTACGCCTTACCTCTTACATCAACCCATCCTATAACAGGGGCGGATCCAGGATTTTTTTTAGGAGGGGGTGCACTCGTCTCTTGCTCTACTTCAACACCAATAAACCACATAGTTTTTTTTTTGTTTGTCTTTTTTGTTTGTTTTTTTTTGCAGAATACCAATTGTATTAGAAAACCGCAGGTCATCTCAGGGAAGGGTGCGCACCCCCTGCACCCTCCCCCTAGATCCGCCCCTGTATAACCGACGTAACTCGCCCCCGGAAATCCCCATTACCTGTACACGATATCGACTCAGTCAGCCCCCAAATCATTTTCCACATGGGAATTGATCTAATCTAACATTCTTTACGTGATCGTATTAAACGGTAAGAGAGAATGAGCTAAGAGAGCGAATCCCCTATATACACTTCACGCTTACGTTAAAGTAGACGGCGCGATCGCAAAACAACAGACAGACGTTCGCCCGTCTGAACTTAAAAAAGATTTCATGGGCACAGGGATTCGCAATCTTCGCTCATTCTCTATTGCTTTGTAGGAAGAGAAGAGAAGTTCTACAGTTGATTTAACATCCACGGGATATGAAGACCCTTATGTTACAGATGGCGGGCTGTTTGTTCTCCATTGATACTCCCGGATAATCTAGAAGAACTGACTCACCAAAGTCTTTCAAAAAACGATCTCGTTACGAGATTAAGTCGTCATATAGATGAAACACGTTACCTTTACTTGCGTTTCATCCAGGAAATAACTTTTCATAGCTGGGTTGAAGTAGCTTGCAAGCGAGGCCACGCTGGACTCGGCGTGTAGGAAGTGGTCACACTTTGCTAACAACAGAATATCCAGCAATACTTGAGTACCTATAACGCGTTCGTATGGGTCAGCGGGGTTGTCCTCGAACTGAAAATCATGCGAAGGTATTGGACTGTCGTACTTACTTGCTCTGAAAGCTTTGGTGAAAACAACCTGATGACAAAACACACCCAGCAAAGAATAAGTCTCAAATAATTACAGTCAACTCTCTCCAAGACGGACACCTTTGGGACAGGCACCAAGTGTCCGTCTTAGAGAGATGTCCGTCTTATAAAGAGTCAAATAAAGGGAATGAGCAAAGGCAGGGGCCAACTCTAGGTGTCCGTTTTACAGAGGTGTCCCTCTTATAGAGGTGTCCGTTAAGAGGGAGTCGACTGTATTTACATTAAACCAAGGCTGGTTTGCATGTAATTGCTACAATAAGAAGCTTAAGCACGGACGACGGTGATGGCAACGAGAACCGCAAAAAAGCAATAGGCTTAGATTAGCAAAACAACATCTCTGCACGGGCATCGCCATTTTTTGTAGATTTCTTAGTCGTCGTTGCACGGCTACAACGTGAAAGTGCCTAATTTCACGTTTTGTCGAGGACGGGAACACAAGACAACAACTTTCTTCTTCTTTTCCTGAGCTTTGAAACAGTCCTTTCTGAATTAAAGTGCAAATCAAATTGCGAACATTTGACGAATTAAACGAGATGGAATAAGGGCGACAAAGTTAGAGGCAGCGCGAATTCAATTTTTAAGTGACGTTTTCGTAGCCGTTGCTGTCGTTGCTTCCCTAATATCGCTGGGATTACTGGAGAGAAAGTTGAGATAACTGGCAGCGATTATAATAAACAGCTCTTCTTGACGATCGCCGTTCTCCTATGCATTTTGTCCTTTAATACAGGGGTCAAGGAAACCTCGTTCCCAGGGCTCTCTCAGTTGCTCGACCCCCAAAGGAGAGAACTTTGTGAGCGAGGTTGAAAAAAAAATCTCGACAGGCGTTTTTCTTTTTAACTGAAAATGCCTGGAAAAGGTCATGTTGTTCGCTTCTGATTAGCCATGTTCCTTAATACAAACTGAGCAATGTAATAGCACTCCTTAAAATACTATATTAATAGAGGTGAAAAAAGTAGCCGTGAATGGCCATACCCCAGCCTAGTCCCTAGGCGTTCTCTCTTGATCCGTTGTCCGCGCGAAGTGTGGGAGAGAGCGGGCGAGAGAACTCGGGCGATTAACTCGGCGAGTATCTCTCGGTGACGTCACAGTTCATGGTAGAGTCCAGGAATGACCGAGTCGAAAACGCCTGGGGACTAGGTTGACCATTCCCTATAAAAAAGAGGGCTTTAGCATCGACGACCGCGACGGCGATGGCAACGGCAACGAGAACATCACTTTTAAAATGAATTCTTTTTTTCAAGCTTTGTCATTTTTATTCCGATTCGCTCAAAATGTCTAATGAGGGCGAATTTTTCCCTGGAGTTGATTTCTTGGGAACTGCACTCAAGTTAAGAAAGAGAAAGAACAATTCGTCGTCGCTTGTTTACGTCCTCCCGTAAAAAGTGAAATTAGGCAATTTCACGCCGTAGTCGAGCAGTGACGGCAAAGAAATGACAAAAAAGCGTGATGCAGGTGTAAAGTCGTTGTTTTGCTTCAAAAACCTATTGCTTTTTTGACGTTCTCGTTGCCGTCGCTGTCGCCGTTGTCGTTGCTAAAGCTCCGTAAGTCAAGACGTCCAAATTTTCATGGCCCGTTTGAGGCCGTATTAACGGAGGTTACAACACAGAGGTGTAGAAATGTTGCCTGTGTTGCGGGTGGTTGCAATCACCAAATGACGTAATAAAAAAGACTAAAAAGACACTCGGAACAACACCCGCTAGGGCTTTCGGATCAATTTAAGCTTCTGGGAAACTGCTCACCTACCCCTCCCCTAAGCCATTATTTTGCCCCAAGCGAGAAGTAAGTGTTAATGTTAGCTTAGGGGAGGGGTAGGTGGGCAGTTTCCTAGAAAGCTAAATTGATCCTGGCTTTCCACAAGGCAACTTTTTAGCACTTTTTATGCAAAATGACGGCAGCCAAATCCTGCTGTTTATCCAGGACAAAAATTATATAGACATAAATAACAAAACAGCAAAGAGAAAAAGCGACTGGAGTTTTCCCTATACTTCCTACGGAGAAGCCGAATAAACAGAGAGGACGACCATTAAACCATTTATATACTTATTGATTTCATTATTATTATACTCTTTGTTTCATTTCATTTTGAGTTATTTGATTATTATTATTATTATTATTATTATTATTATTATTATTACTATTATTATCATTATTATTATTATCATGATATTTCTTTATACATTTTTTATTTATATTTCCAATATTTTTATTTTTTGTGATTTTTTTTTTAAATTTTTAATTTCAATATTATTTTTATTTATTTATTTATGTTATTTTATGTTATTTTATTTATTTGTCTGAATCGTTTCTCATCATTGGCCCATTTAGTTTTTTAAATTACCTTTCTATTAAATTTCCAACAGCTACTCGTCTATACTATTTGAATAGACCTTTTTTACCGATACCGCGGCCATATTGAATTAATTCGATTTAAGGAGTATTATATATAGGATACCCAGGGGGCATGAGCGCATTTCGTTTGTATTTTCGAGCGCTTTTCGGGACATTTTTTCTTAAAGTTTTCTTAGAATAAGATTGTAATGGGAAAAAAGATCCTTGTGCCGTGTTTGGATCTAATAATGATCGCCTTTTTCTATTTAGTATTAGAAATATGGTTTTTCACTGTATATTTCCCGGGAAAAGGACGATCATTATATACATCAAAACACGGCACAAGTATCTTTTTTCCCATTACAATCTTATTCTTAGAAAACTGTAAGAAAAAATGTCCCAAGAAGCGCTCGAAAATACAAACGAAATGTGCTCATGCCACCTGGGCATCCTATAATACTCCTTAAATCGAATTAATTTAATATGGCCGCCGTATCGGTAAAAAGGTCTATTGTAACGACTTACCGATTCTTCATTAAATCCTCTGAAAAAGGACAGCCTGTCCGTCCGAAATATCGGAAAACTCAAGTCGCTTTTCTCTTAGCTGTTTTGTTATTTATGTCTAACTTTTTGGCAACTTCTCCTCTTTCCTCACTTTGAGTCGTTTTGAGCAACTTTTTGCATTCTGAGCAACTTCTCTAGTTATGTTCTAATTCTGAGATATCAGAGCAGCTTTTAGTGCTTAAATCATTCTCGTCCCCAGAGCCACTCGGCTTAATTTGTAACCGACTACGTGACCAAAAAACGACGGGCTTTGGGGACGAAAATATGCTTAAATTGGCCTTTCTTCCACATTTAACAATGTTTTAGTAGACAATTTATTAATTTCCTGTAGAAAAAGAGGATCCAAATCCTCCCCCCTGGGGCAGATCATGGGCGCAAGATAAAAGTCCAGCCGCAAGGTCAGCGATTTTTAGAGAAAATTCTAAATGGTGGACGAAGATTCACACTCGACTGACTTGAGTGTCCCGGGTGAAGAAGGTCATTCAACAATTTAATCGCCTCTTTACATTTATTGGTTTTAATTGAGGACAAAGTAATTAGCATCGCTGGTTACGGCGCAAAATTGCACAAAAATTTTTAGAAATCTTACTTTCGTTGTACAATGTGCACATTTTAGCTTCAGACCAAAAAAAGTTTTCGTTTTTTCGAGCAATTTTTGAGCAATCAAAAATAGTTTCTGCAACAACACCAACAAACACCCAAACAACCAATATTTACCTCAAACTGGATTAGAAAGACAAACTAGATTTAATGAAGTCACCCCGCTTGGAAAATAATTGGAAGGCGGGGTAAGGAATATTGTGCCTCCACTGCAGGGAATCGAAACGTTAATTGATGTTGTTTGACCATTTTAGCTCGGAAAATAACAATTGTGCAATCAACAGTCAACGACCCCTTAGACAGCGAAACGTATGGAAGATACAAAGCTGAAAACTGAGAATAATATGCAAAGAACTTACCTTATCATATCCAAGAACGGCAACAAACTTCTCAATAACTTCGTCGTTATCACTAGCAATAAATATTTTGCTTGGTTGCGGCAGTGCTTTAAGAATTGACTGGGCACTTTCAACCCAGCTCATTAAATGTGGCAGCCTTTTCTCATTCGTCTCCATCCAATGATCTGTGCCTCGAACATGTACCCCTAAAACGGTACTCCTCGCGAGGTATCGTTGATAAAAGTTATTAAGCTTTCGAATAATTCTGTTGTTGGGTTTAATGTACTGTTGAAGCATTTGGTTTACTCTTCTTCTCTCTTTTTCTGTTATTATTCTGTTATTGGCAAAGCCAACGGTGTTCGATCGATTTCTAAAACTGCTGTTTAAAATTAGCTTTAGATTAGGGTAAGTTCGAAGCATGCTCTCTTCGTTCTCGAGCATCAAAGGGCATAAAACTCGTTCCGCTTGTGATTCCAATAAGCCACTGCCGATGGGTTCAAAGTACCATTCCCACGAATTAACTCTGGGATCCCTAGAACAAACTGACTTACATGCTTTCCAATACACAACTGGTCGATCGCTTCCCAAAGCCTCGCAGAGAAGAATATCGTCAATCGTTCGGAGAAGAAGAGCAGCAAATCCCATGTTCTGGCACTCTGTCAGAGCTGGATCCACGACGCAAACGCGATGACCAGAGGATAATATTTTATTCTCATTGTTTGTTCTCGTTGCAGCAAGGAAACCGTTTGATTTTATGATCTCCTGCAACAGATACTCAGCTTTTAGCGAACGCGTGTTGACTTTCGCTTCAGACTGTAAAACAAAATTGAGTTCACACAACTCTGAGTCGCGCCATCGATAACAGCAGTAGTAAAGTAAATAAAGCGATAGAAAAAAGCCGACCAAAAATTTTCCATAATAGCGAAAAACAAGGTGTTTGAAGAAACGGAGAATCATAACGCAATTGTTCTGTGTAAGTGGTAAAGCTTTTGAACTTCTTTCAATAAAACTGTAAAATGCAAATAAGAGAACGATGTTCAATGTCAGAGTTTTGATTGTTCTCACTGCTAATTTGATCTTTTAAAACAGCTGCTTAAAATAGATAAATATCTCTCTTCCAAAATGGTAATCAGTTTTGCGCGCATGCGCTTTCTGCATGTTTAAAATGGATCTCAACTAAAGCTGATTGGGGCCATCTGAGATCCTTATTATCCTACTTCACTGGGACTGCGTTTTCTTCGATGATAACATTAATCAAAACTGGACTTGTTGGAAAGACCTACTATTCACTGCAGTAGACGAATGCATTCCTATACGCAAGGGTAACAAGAAACCCAATGCTCCCTGGATCACCAAGGAACTTATTGCCTTGTGCAAAAAGAAAAGATCTTTGTACAAACGTGCTCGCAGAAGTAACAAAGCGACCATTTGGGAAAAATACCGACGACTGAACAATTCTATAAAGAGTCTCTGCAAAACAGATCGATACATTAACAAACTAGCCTCCGATCTGAAAGAAAATGAAAACCCAAAACCCTTCTGGAATTTTATTATAAGTCCAAAAGAAGAGGAACTAACAATCTTGTTTCATTAAAAATCGACAATGCTGTTGTGACAGACCACCTCTGTATTCAGTGCTCAGTGCATGAACTCCTCTGTGTTTACCGTCGACGATTATGGTAATTTTCCTACCGCGGATTACGTTGTTGTCATGAGACTCGAAAGTGTCAATGAAGGAAGACGCCTCCTTTTGAAACTCAAGCCTCGCAAGTCCCCTGGGCCTGACAATATCGCCCCTTGCGTTTTGAGAGAATGTGCATCGGAACTGGCACCTTTACTGGCGCCTATATTAAACAAATCATTCTCCTCTGGTTAATGAATTAACCTAATAAATGGAAATGCGCTGATATCACACCGTTACACAAGAAGGGTTCTAAATCTCTCAGAGAAAATTACCGCCCAATCTTTCTTACTTCTCTTGTTTGTAAAATTGGCGAAAAAATTGTTTTTGATAGGTTGCATAAGTTTTGGCAAGAAACTGGTCTGATAAATAACAACCAATTCGGCCTTCTGAAAGGAACATCCACCGTAACACAACTGTTATCATCAGGGTTGGTAGTCAGGGCCACCGAGGAAAAAAATCTACTTCCACTAATGCTGTTAAACTACTAGACACGTAAACTGGTAAAAAAAGGGCGAGATAACAAACTATAACAAAATTTACATACAGCACGTAACAAAGGAGCGTAATTAACAAAATAGCGGAGAGCGAAAAGGAAAAGAATACACGTTAACAAGTAAGTGAGAAAACGAAAAACAAAAGGAAAGAACCTAGGCGTTGGGATATCGAAGAATCTCTCATGGGATAATCATATTAGCATAACTGTAAACAAAGCTAACAATCTATAAGGTCTAATCAAATGTTCTGTTGGCACCACCAACGTAAATGTTTTCTCAACGCTGTATTTACCTCTGGTACGACCAATTCTTGAATACGCTGTACCCGTTTGGTGGAGAGTATACAAAGAAGGGCATCTAGATTAGCACTTAACCAACACAAAGGAGAAATGCCTTGTGTCGATCGTTGTAAATTGTTCAAAAGGCCGTCGCTATCTGACCGTAGAAATTATCTATCTTTAATTATGCAAGTTCGTCTTTGGATGCTATCATTTGAATTTTTATGATTTATTCGAATTCTCAAAAGTTGGGTCTACAACAGTGAATCACCCCTTCAAACTGTATGTTAAAAGCTCAAGACTCGCAGGGGCGGATCTAGGGGGAGGGTGTAGGGGGTGCGCCCCCCCCCCCCGAGATGACCTGCGGTTTTCTAATACAACTTGTATTCTGCAAAAAAAGTCTTTATCTATCATTTTCTATTTCTGTTTGGGAGTTCTAATATAGGGCTAACCTCTCAACTTCCTTTACAAGATGTCTTTTAATATTATGTTTTTTCCTGTAAATAAGCTTGTTTACATCTTGAATAAAGTTAGTATGTACGTAGTATGTATGTAAAGCCTATTTTATGGCATTTCTTCGCGATTTCATGAAGATTTTCAAAGCTTTATGTAGCGGTTGCGATGATCTTTGTCTGACAGAGTACAAAAATCATATTTCTTCTCCATTTCTTTTGTTTCAACTTCATTAGCATACATTACCATACCCCAAAACAAAAGAAAAACAAATAATTACCCAAGATAAAAAATTAACTACAACATATAGTAACACGTGAAAATTTAAATAAGAAAAAAGTGAACGTTAAATGTATGTGAAAACCAAAGCCGTTGAAGTAGCAATATAGTGATATGAAAGAAATTTGAAATGTAAAAATAGTATAATGATTACAAACAGACGAAGGCCTTCCGAAATATTGGTAAAAAGTATATATATTCCCGACTGTAAAATCAGTCTTGCTTCATTTGTTTAATATTTTCACTTATTTCTGATAAGATCCTCTATTAGGATCCGCTCCCTCTTTTTTGTAAGTTGGTTCCTGCTTCAAAAAATTGAATTCCTTTTTTGTTTGCGGTAATTTTCCTTATATAGAAAATAGGTGGTCTTGAAGCAGAACTCGTGTAGCTAAATGATGGTATCTGGACTCATGCGCCACGGGTATGGTAATTTTCTAAGCAGGATGGATCACAGGCGGCCCAGACGTAGTATGTGTCACTGAATGAATATATTAATATTCACATGGACAAATTAATGCGATGAGTCGTCGAAACTCCAATGAACTAAAATAGTCCAAAAGTCAAAATATAACAAAACAAAGCTAAGATACGTTTAACTGAACGTATCCTTGTCTTTCCTGGCCGGTTAAAGTGGCATTTTGTTGAGTTTTGCAATTGTAGGTACTATCCACTAAAGAAGAATTAAAGGCTGGCTACAAAACAAAACCATCTCCACGCGCCTTCACACGAAGCGCTATAAATTCGAGAATAATCGACGAATCCGCTCCAAATTGCCATCGGCTACTCTGCAAGTAACGTATGCTCCTGCTTCTTGTTCGCTGGCTCCACAAAACCCATCGCAACTGCACAATAATCGCTCGCTCGTCATTAAACACTGTTGACCTTCATGCTTCGATATGACCGCAAACTACCAGGTTTAATACGCGACGTGAATATTCAAGCTTAGCGCCGGGTCCGCGCGACAATGCAGCACTTGCTATGGGAGGGATGGTACTATTGCTTCTAGGTCAATCGACACTGAGCAAGGGTCCGCTGCGTTAGTTTTGGCCATAAAACAAAAGGCGATCGCGCGACCCTCCATAAGTTTTCAACAGGGCAGCCCTGGTTTTCAAGTTCGAATTCTTCTAACGTTCGCTGTCACAGCTGCTGTCACATTGTTCGTCCAGTCGCTTGCATAGGTTCTTGACCCTACTAGACCAATTTGCTTAGATTAATTAAATAAACAGTTCTTTCCAGAACTACGTCTTATTCCACAGTACGTTGTCCAAACTGGTGAAGGAGGACGAGGATTTTCCGCCCAGGACAAAGGTAAAATCTGGCGTCGGCTATGCAGCTGAATAGAAGATACAGCTGAAGATATGGTAAAGTAAAATTTATGTGCGCGATATCTTTTTTATTATTATTATTATTTTCAAAACTCAGGGGTACCCAACGACGATTTCCCCCTAAATGCATTGAAAACACATTTAAGGCTGTCCAGAGTACTTTCAAATGCATTCTAAGCGGCGCTAATACGTAAATTTAGTCAGGAGGGCTAAAAGTGAAGCTCTTGATAATATTTATAGTTTGCTCATACTAATCATAAAATCGTGTAATGCTAAGCGGAGAAGGCAACGAGACAGGGGCACCCAACGACAGTTTCCTCAAATACATTGAAAACACTTTTTAGCTATTCATAAAGTACTTTTAGCTCTATAGAAATGCATTCTAAGTGGCGCTATCAAATTTGTATCTCTGTGATCGGCCATTCTAGGGGAACTTGAGTCTTTTCGAAATTACGAGGAATTAAGAATTATTTTCCCGAAAATTTTATATGCAATGTAACGTCTTACGAAGGAGATAATTTTTCAAATTCCTTCTTTCATCACATTTTTGAATCCAAAAATTTTAGGGTTCCTTTTTACTCGCTAACTCGGGGAGTGAAATGTGAAAAATTAAACTTCAAAAAATTGTAGGGAATTTATTAGCAAGATTAGATGACCATCAAAAATTGTACATGAATGGAATGGTCATCTAGAAATTTTTAGCCAAGTGAAAGAAAATTCCAGGCAAAATTTGCTTCTCCGAACAGATATTTTACAGAAAACAGTCGTGGATGCCCTTGACCAGAGCTGTGAAAAAAACCAACAATAGGTCTAATTGCAGCACACTTTCTTGTACATTTCCTTGCCGTTGATTTGCATGACTGCAACGTGAATCGTCCAGAAAACTTCCTGGTTTTCACTTTTCGTGGAAGAAATGTAGTACATGTTCTTGTTCACTTTTCCACTGCCGCTCATTTTTTTTAGCTCCGCTATAAAATTCGTATCTGTTCGGTGATCCTAGGGCAAATTGGATCTTTTTGAAAATTACGAGGGCTTCAATATTATTTTCCCGATTGATTGACCTAGAAGCAATAGTATCATCCCTCCCATAGCAAGTGCTGCATTGTCGCGCGGACGCGGTCGCTAAGCTTGAAAAATCACGTCGCGTATTAAACCTGATAGTTTGCGGTCATATCGAAGCATGAAGGTCAACAGTGTTTGTTTATGGGCGAGCAATTATTGTGCAGTTGCGATGGGTTTTGTGGAGCCAGCGAACAAGAAGCAGGAGCATACGTTACCTGCAGAGTAGCCGATGGCAATTTGGAGCGGATTCGTCGATTATTCTCGAATTTATAGCGCTTCGCGTGAAGGCGCGTGGAGATGGCCCGTTTGTTTTGTAGCCAGCCTTTAATTCTTCTTTAGTGGATAGTACCTACAATTGCAAAACTCAACAAAATGCCACTTT